AAGACAGCAGCTCCTTTGCCTGTCCGTTCCGGTTAGCCTCACTCTCCTCCTCCCCACAGGGACTTGATTCCAAGTAAATCTACTTTGGGTGAGAGTGAGAGGCTGACGAGGCACCTCTCTTTGTAGATTCTTGCTTCCTTCTTCAGAGGCTGGATGCTTTGAGCAATCACTGGCCAAAGCGGGAGACGTGAAAGCTCTTCTTGGACTTCAGGGCAGAAGGCTGGTCACCAGCTGTGGCTCACTCCAGGGCCAAGAGGTGGAAGTCACGTCCTTCTCCAAGGCAGGGAGGTGAGGAAGAGGGCAAGGCCGGGCGGTTCGGGTCATCAAGGCGCCTTGGGAAGGCTGCTGTTTCCGAAAGGGGACTAAGAAATAGAGGGGTCTTCCCAGAACATGGGGGGAGACAGGAAAGCATTTTGCTGGCAAGTCAGTTGTGTAGGAGTCCTCTCAACTCTCTCTGCAGAAAAAAAGGGGGTGTGCAGGCAGGCCGAGGCCCAGGAAAGCAGCCTTGGGGAGCGAACGGGGCCCCGCTTCTCCCAGCCCCACCTCGCCTACTGTGGCAAAGGAGCCGTTGGTTCCAGCTGCAGAAATGGCAGGCCCGTGGGTGTTCGTGGCCTGCAATGGTGCTGCGTATTTTAATGGGCGCTTGGAAGGGTCGCCTCTTTTTGGCCGAGCCGGCTGGGCAGGTCTCGGAGTCGCTGCAGTTGAAAAAAGGAAATCTCTCGGCGAACGGCCCTGTGGCTGTTGGTTTCCTTTGCAGGAGCCGGGACAGGTGGGCCTTGATGGCTCCCGAAGAGACCCTGAAGGCTTTTGCTGAAGTGGACGGGATGGAGGAGGCTTTGGTTGGCATGACAGCCGTGAACTCTGTTGTGGTCTGGTGAGCATCCCTCCGCGACCTGGTTTCTCGCTTGATTTGTTTGCTTACTATGTTGCTGCTTCGCCTTTCTGTTACAAAACAGCGCTCCAGACGGTTTGTAAACATCAAGTTAAAAACAAACGGAAAAAAGATTCAACAAGATGGTTACAAACATCACAATAAGGGTTTTTGAAAGCCTCTTTTGAGCTTTTAGGCTCTCTACCGAAAGCAGCATGAGTGGGAACCAAGAACAACTTTGAAGGGGGGGGGAGTGAGTTCCAGAGTCGGGGAATCTGGGAAGGCAAAGACTCCCCCACCCAACCCCAACTCAAGTAAACAAACTCCCTGTTCTCGCAGATGGGCCGCCTCCTGCTGGCCGCTGACAGCATCACAGAGGCAGTCGGGTTTAACATTTCTTCCTGCCTCCAGCCACAGAAGCAGTGACCTGTGTTTTCATCTTGTGCAGGAACATGACCTCCGGCCAGCTGCTGAGAAGGATCCCGGTGGGTTACTCCTACCCAGCGACTCTCTGCCCCAGGGCCTACTCGGACTTGGTAGGTGTTGGGAAGCAGAGTTCTGTGCGAACTATGAAAAGCAGTCTGTTGGGATCAGGGAAAAGAGGTCAGGTTTCTCAGAGGAGCATCCAAGACTCAAGCTGCACCTGGAGCATTTGCCCCTTTCTATCGGTGTTTGCTATTTGTTCAAGCCCCCCCCCCTGTTTTTTGACCAGGAGGAGTGGCGGCTGTGGTTTCTGCCTCCTTAAGGTGCTCCCCTTGCCACCTGCATCCCACGGCAGTCAGAGTGGCCAAACCTGAGTATTTTTCTGGAAGTGTGCCATTTTTGGACTGGTTTCTGAGAGTCAGATTCGCATATTTTGGGGTCTGCGTTTTCAGCACCAGTTCCATTTCTAGTCAGCTTTGTGACCGAGTTTAACATTCCTTCCAGATTTCAGGGTTTGGGGCCCTGGCGATGGGGCGTCGAGAGTAGAAACCCGGGAATGGCTTTCCTCAGCTGCAGGATGGCTGGTGTCCCACTCCCACCCATGCCTACTGACAATTCTGTTGACGTGCCCCTTCCTTCCTTCCTTGCATGCAGGGTCTCCTCTTTGTGGTTGTAAGTCATCCACGCTCCAAAGAGAGCAAGTCCTGTGGGAGGCCTGCCTTCCGGTTAGTTGCCCTCAATCCCAAAACGGCCAGGAGCTTAGGAGTGATGGCCTTATCCCTTCCGCCGGGCACTGGGGGAAGGTGAGTTGTGGTTTGGGGGAGTGTGTTATTGTGATGTGTGTGTGTGTGTGTGTGTGTGTGTGTGTGAGAGAGAGAAAGAGATCAGGAGTATCCTGCAAGCTAGGCACACACACTCCTTCACCCCCTCCCTTCTGCCATAGAGCATTCCTGCTGACACTTCAGTGTCAAGGGGGGCTGGGACTGAGCCTGTTTGTGATTTCAGCACCAAGCCTTCCTGGACTGGTTGGGAGAGCAGCTTCCTTTCCTGCCTGCCAGACAAGGCCATGACCCACGTTCCTGGCAAAGGCTCGCCTCGTGTGTTGGGGTGGGTTTTATCATGTGGACGCAGGGCCCTTTCCTTCCTCTGCTCCTGTGCAAATGTTCTGCTCCCGGAACAGGCAGCTCTTGTTGTTGAAGCAGCTTCATTTCCTCAGAGTCCCGAAGAAATTTGAATTTATAGTCACCCTTTTAAAATGGGACGACAGGCAGCCGCTTGAGATTTTGAAGGCAGATCTGTGGCATGAAACCTCCCCATTCAACGCCCAGCGATGAGAGCGTTCTCTCAGCCAGGACCTCCATGCTGTTGGCATCTTGTGGCTGGAAGTTCTCTCCAAGAGAAGCCAGGCTCAACCCTTTGACTTGATCGGAGGGGCTGCAAGGCACCTGGTGAGCTGAGAGAACAGGTGTGGTGGCAGCAGGGGGCGGCTGCTGCTTTTCTCCCGAATGAAAAAGGGGAGACATGCCTCACTCCTCGCTTTTGAAGCATGTTTGGGTGAGACTTGTCTACCTTCAGAGAAACACCCGCTCCATATACAGGAGCCACGGATCCGGGCTTGTTCCTGGCAAAGAGGGGCTTGCCTCAAATGCTTCGGCCGGGGACTTGGTGCCCCCTCGCTTTTGAAGCATGTTTGGGTGAGACGTCTACCTTCAGAGAAACACCCACTCCATATACAGGAGCCACGGATCTGGGCTTGTTCCTGGCAGAGAGGGGCTTGCCTCAAATGTTTCGGCCGGGGACTCGGTGTCTGTGAGTTTGAGCTCAGGGGAAAAGCCTTTTCATGTCCTGGGCCACCGTTCTGGGATAGCCCTGTTAAACTGCCCAGAAGGGGTGTCCCCTGCCCTGGCCATGCACAATCCAGTTTTCAGACTGGCCCAAACAAGAGCGAGTTGCCAGAGAAGAACGACCTGCCCTGCAGGACCCAGAGAGAGAGAGAGAGAGAGAGACTGGCATCGCCTCAGACAGGAAGGAGGCCAGGCTTGTTGGCAGTCCTCCCTGAGCTGATCAAAGTGTGCAGATTAATTAAGGATCCGTATTTTAGCCTCTCTCTCTCTCTCTGTTTAGTTATGTCCCTCTGTAGCTCTGGGGAGGCAGGCTTTGATGGATGGTGGTGATGATGATGAAGGCCGTGTTTTTTTCCATCCTACTAGATATCTGGAAGGTGACGTGAGGGGCGCCTCTGCAGCCGCTGTGCTGACGTCAGGATCCATTGCTGTGTGGGATCTGCTTCTCGGGCAGTGCACGGCTCTCCTGCCCCCCAGCCCTGAAGGGCAGTGGTCTCTGGTCAGGTGGTCAGCGACCGAGGCTTGTTTGCTGGCCGGGCAAGACAATGGCAGCGTCTGCATTTATAGTTACACAGCAAGCCTGCACTTGGCTTGAAAGACTCGCTCCATCAAGGGAAGTTGCCTGGATTGGGGTTTCCTGCACCGGCAGACCTCGCGGGCGCTAGACCCGAGGTTCCTCTACGAGACGAGGCTTTCCAGAAGAGACCCGTTCTGCCCGTGCCATGAACTCGTGGTAGGAGGCGTCTCGGTCCCGTTTCTGCTGGCTTTGACCAGCTGATCCAAGAAACCGGTCCTGGGCACGATCCACCTAGAATGTTTCCCTGGAGTTAACGTGGGTCGTGCAGAGAGCACAGTTATAACAGAGTGCCTGGTTTGGTTGCTAAATGCACTTTGTTATCAGGATTTGTGCCTTACAGCTATTTTTTAAAAAATACTTTATCTGGTCTATTTTTGGTGTACAATTAAAACTGCCTTTTGAAAGTACATCTTTCCAGCTGTGTCTTTTCTGTCAGGGAAGAATGAAGAGGGCAGATTTTGTTTTCAGACTGTCCTCCTACACACACTACCTTTCTCTCTCTCTCTCCCCCCCCTCCCCCCCCGCCTTTAGCTTGCATTGAGGTTCACAGAAGGATGACTGGGCTTCATAGAAGCGCCACAACATTAGGGCGAGAGTGT